GTGTGTGTGTGTGTGTGTTTAAAAAATTTGCACCACAACAGTCCCTACGAGTAGATACGAGTTGAGCCAGCTCACCTCTTTAGCAAGCACCATGAATCGTAGTAGAAGTGTTTAGAACTGTGTTTAGCTGGGGTTTCTTCAGGGCAACAGCTCCTCTTTTACTATGCCTCACACGTACAAGCCTGCCCACGTTAGTGGTGGTTGAGCAGCAGATGCCCACATCCCCGTGTGCCTTAACGGCGCACTTGCACGTTATAACGCGTGGCAGAGTAAAAGGGATGGTACTATGCTCCTGTGCATTTCTCTTCAGATCTTCATACTACTGTTCATTTCACTTCCGATCTTCAACTTATACTTAGTCATTGTGTCTGTCCTTCATCTTCATACTTCCATTCATTTCACTTCCAATCTTCATATCTTCTGTTCTCTCAACGATGCTCATTTGTTTGTATTTGCTAGCAGCACAAAAGGGGAGGGTGGAGGGGAAGTGGGAGGGAAAGGGGTAGAAGGTGGAGTTGTATAGGAGTGTGTGGGGTAGGGGGAGGTGGAGGGTAAAGGGTAGGAAAGAAACATGTGAAGGACAGGACAGAGTATGACATGCAAAGGGCAGGGGAGAGGTGTACGACGAACTTCGCAGAATTCTAAACACTCACCGCTGGAACAGACTACTCCGTTTTTTTTTCTTTTTTTTTTAATTAGACCATTTCTCGATTTCTGCATGTCATCCTTGAAGTTGCAGAGGCCATGCTAATCTTCTTTCTCTGTATCGTTCCAATCCTTTTAACGGATATGTCCCAAAGGACGGAACAGACTACTCCTACAGGGTTGCAAAAAAATGTTTTTTGGTTGACGGCCAACGAGGGGCAGTTAGTTATATTGCCTATTGGTAAATGGCCACCCCTACAGACCGTACAGGACCGGTTCGGGTGCGGACTATGGAAGCACCGCATCCATTTTTTGCAGTCACAATTGCTGCATCGAATGGCACGGCGCAGACAGATGTCACAGGCTACGTGGCTCCTACATGATAGGAAAGTCGGAGGCATGCGGACCGCAATTATAGAGAGGCATTGCCGTTCCGTTCCGGTCCGTCTACAAATTGGGCATGACATGCAGGGTGGCGTACACGAGTACAATACTGACTGTCGTCATCGTACGTATGGAAGCAAGAACTCGCATGGACTATGTCCCTTCATAATCCTCACAGCACAAGGCATGCGTACCACATGCTAGTCGAATCTCCGGCGGGGTCATCACGAAGCGGCATGGAGCATCTTTCTTGGGTTTCCTCAGTATTCATTCCTTCTCTAGGGGCAGACGACGACAGGGAGGGAAAAAAGCAAGGGCGTTCAGTTGCTGCGGAATTTGGCTGCTGCAAGGATTTGGTCTGCAACAGCTCGCCCTGGTGGTGGCGATAAGCTATAAGCACATCGCTCCGCAGGTGCTTCACATAGAAGACCATTTGTGGGACAAGCTAGGAGAGGATGTGGACCATGATGGCACCGGGAATAGTCCACGCAGGAAAGACACATACTTTCTATGACAGCTTCCTGGACACATTGACGACACATGGGATGTTGCTGACATGTCATTAGTATGGAAGGCTGACGTACGCAGTTACTTAGGCATTGCAGATCAAGGGCACAACGGCATGCTGGGCATGTAATGAGGGGGTCGGGGGGATGCGCACAAGACAAGGGATCACAGTTTTTGTGGGAGCGGCTGGCAGCAACCATCCCTTCATAGTGTTCGGAGCAGA